AGGGTTTAGGGTTTAGAGTTCAGGGTTTAGGGTTTAGAGATTAGGGTTCAGGGTTTAGGGTTTAGAGTTTGGGGTTCAGGGTTTAGGGTTTAGAGTTTGGGGCTTAGGGTTTAGGGTTTAGGGTTTAAGTGCATGTAGGTAGCCGTCCTTATCGCAGGAGCTGATGGCAGCATTGACACCTCGGCTGCTTAGCAAGGAAGGGTAGCAACTGCATTGTCGACCCAGTATATGGTGTTGAAAAGGCTTAAGGCTTATAGGGTTTATGACGGTTCCGGATTTAAGCTTGAGGGGTTAATTAGGCGTAAGAATACAAGGCAGCCCTCTCATCTTTAAAGGCCTATGGTTGGGCTTGTAATTCCCTGCGGCCCTCGGAGGATCCATAGACCATCACATTTTCCGATACAAGAAAACAACTAGATTACACCTTCGGGTACTCCAGGGACGCACTTCAGCTCTCGGGTGGAGATGGCAAGGAGTAGATGGGAGAATAGCTAAGTCTGAAATCCAGCAACCCCACATCGAGGGTCCGGGAAACCCCTTTACCCCCCCACCAAAACCTTCAAAGCAAGGATATTCGCTCTGGGCCCCTGACGGCTCCAAAAAATGCACACCGAAAACACACACACACACACACAAAAAAAAAACAAAAGTTGTATCTAGCTGATTAATTTCTTTGTGTGGTCTTCATAGAGATTTGGAGCTTAGGTTAAGCCAAAGCCTGGGGAATTAAATCCGCCCCAATTGCATGCCGCAAGATGCACATGCCTTCATGTGAAGGATACCTAGAGTTGCCAATGTACGTGAAAAATGATAGGACCCGAAAACATGGTACATTCACCTTGTTTGAGGTACCTTGGATACTCTAGGACTCTACTTGGAGGGTCGGGAGACTTAGTAAGTAGGTAATAAGTAGACTTATAAGTACCCTAGAAGGGACCTTAATTGGGGTGAAAGTACCTATAAGTCTATAAAATAATCTTTTACTAAGTACCCCGACCCTCGAAGTAGGTACGGCCAATAAAGAAGCAAGACTCGGACGAGTGCTCCGGAGAAAACTCAGGATTAAGGGTCTATGTAGGGTTTTTTGTGTGTTGACTGAAGGTTTAGGGTTTAGAGTTTTAGGGTTTAGGGGTTATAGGCATAGGGGTTGCCCTTGGAATACAAGTTCCTGCTCATGAATCCCTAATTTTGGGAACCACCGCAAAACCCCCAAACTCGTGTTTAAACGCTCATGATGTGCCCGTTTAGACCCCTACCGAAATTCTGCAACACCCCCCCACACCCCCCCCCCCTGCGGGCCGAGCAACAAGCAGAGTCAGGACGGTGTCCCTCCACACTCAACTGTGCCAGGAGGTGCCTTCGGGTTCACCCGGAGTAGCCAACGTACCGTCAAACAAATATGACCCCTAAGATTGGTACTTGTTGAAGATACCTTGGGTACTCTAATGTAGGGGCCTTAATAAGTAGAATTGGCTTTTAGGGCCCAGTATGCTATAATTATAGCAGGGAGCCCCCAAAATAGTATAGGCAATTATTATTAAAGCCCCGATATTCTTACTTCCCCAACAAGCCAGGGAAATAAAGGGTTCAACTTTTAGATTGCTCCTTAATTATAAGAACCCAAAAAGTTTAAAGGTTGGGTATTGGAGGACTAAGTATTAGGTATGAACGTAGGGGAATGTCTCTGAGCAGTGGATCCCACAATTCTGTGCTTTGTGTTACCACGCAGAACTTAAACTCTGAGTGAACACCACCTTGGTGAAGGTTTAGGGTTTAGGGTTTAGGGTTCAGGGTTCAGGGTTTGGGGTCCAGGGTTTAAGGTTTGGGGCTTAGGGTTTAGCCTCCCCAAATAAAACCTGAAATGGCTAGCCGTAAGGGCGCTCTAAGCCCTAACCCCGAACACAACAGCATGGTGCTCTTATGACTCACATCCTACACCCTAAACCCTAACCCCTAAACGCTGCCTAAACCCTAAGCCCTAAATTGCCTGCATGGGGAATCAAAGCTGGGATCACTTGCCCTAAGGCTCAAAGCGGCCCAAAGCAGAGCCTCTGGGTTTAGGGTTTTAGGGGTTTAGGGGCTTTCGGGTTTAGGGTTTAGGGGTTTAGGGGTTTAGGATTTAGGGTTTAGGTTTGAGGATTTAGGGGTTTAGGGGTTTAGGGTTTAGGGTTTATAGGGGTTAGGGTTTAGGGTTTATAGGGGTTAGGCTTTACGGTTTAGGGGTTTAGGGTTTAGGGTTGGGCCTACAGGCGCAGGCTTGCATGAGACCACCAAGGACACATCCCGAGCTCAGTAACCCTGCTTAGAGTAACCAAGGTTTAGGGTTTAGGGTTAAGGCTTTTAAGGGTCTAGGGTACCTTAAAAAGGACAAAAATTGACCTCTTGTGTAGGGTCATACCCCTTTTCTAAACGTCCATTGGTTACCTAGGTAAACCCTACAAAACCCACTCAACAAAAAAATCGATGCAGGCATGAGCAGGGCGCGGAATGTAAGGCTTTGAGAATCATAGGGTTCTGAATGTGACACAGTAAGAACCCAAACCGAAGCTCTAGTCATGCCCAGATTCATGCCGCTGCAAATGCAATCTAGTGAAGGGTGACGTTGACTGCTCGGGAGGTTCGGTCCATCAGATTTTTTAGTGAAGCCATGGTTTACGATGGAGGGTTTAGGGCTTCGGATTTAGGATTTGGGTGCAGGGATTCGGGAGGGAATCAGACACGTGGAGATTTGTAGAGCGGCCGGCTACATGTGTGTTGGGGCTATGACCTTACTGTGCAAGCTATCCCTCAAGCCTTCTACAAAATAGTCACCATATGGCACGGGACCGTGACGACTGGTTTGCGAGATTCTTAGGAAGGTTTCAGGCCATGCAGCCTGAAGCACAAACACCTAAACATACTCTGAGAAGTACACACATGCAGACACGCAGATGACAGGAGGCCTTAATGATTAGAAGGTCCCTGGCTACCAGGTACTCAGGCTTCTAGATTACTTCCGACCCGTGAATTTCGAACCCTACCTATGACCCTGGACTTGG